AGAGAGGCAACTGCTCAGGGGCTGAGGTACTTTTTATAAGGTTTTTCTAAACAAAGAGTCAGGGAATTCACAGAACAAGACTGCAAACACATTGCTTATCTTATGCAGGAAATGTTCTAGGGTCACCTTTTGTCAAACCATTTGCCCCTGGGTGGGCTGTTAACCAAGGTAGCAATTAGCATATGAAGAAGCACAGTCTGGCCTATTAGCATGGAGTCACTTTAGCCTATTCAAGTCTTACACTCTTGAAAATATACCATAAGTTAAAAGTAAAAGATGTACCAGGAAGATCCATCATTTCTCATCTGAACTACTGTACTGGTTCCAGTCTGCTTGTTTCCATTCCTGTCCTCAGCACTCCACCATTTTGCCAGGTTTTTGTGATTCTTTAAAGCATGAATCAAGTTACAAGAATACCCTTTGTTCGAAACCCACCATACTTAAGATAAAATTCAAAACCTTGAAAAGGCCTTTGTGATGTGGCCCTCCCAGGCTGCTGCCAGGGTCCCATCCAGTCTGATTGCTCACAGTGACCTTTCCGCTGCTTCACAACACCCCCAGCACTTTTTCCTCTCAGGCATTTCATTCAGCTCTATTCAGGTATCATCTCTTAGGAGAAAACTTTCCTAGCCACCTGTAAGACTTAAAGTCTCACTTCCACTCCACGGAGCGTGAACAGCCAAAAAGGCCTCCACGATGCTGGGCCCTAACACCCAGCGAGGCTCCGGGAGCTCGGTGGAGAAACGAGAAACCCAGGAGGGAACACACCAGGCTAGATGGTAAATAGACCTTTATTAATTAGTCTGGGCAGACGGCATTCCCAGAGCCAGGTAGCTCAGAGAGGCAATTGCTCAGGGGCTGAGGTACTTTTTATAAGGTTTTTCTAAACAAAAAGTCAGGGCATTCACAGAACAAGACTGCAAACACATTGCTTATCTTATGCAGGAAGTGTTCTAAGGTCACCTTTTGTCATACCATTTGCCCCTGGGCGGGCTGTTAACCGAGGTAGCAGTTAGCATATGAAGAAGCACAGTCTGGCCTATTAGCATGGAGTCACTTTAGCCTATTCAAGTCTTACAACCCTGTCTAGAAAATCACCACCACCTCTACCTGACTGCCTTCATTTTTCCTCATAGCAGTGAATACTATCTGGCATAAGAGACATTCATTTGTTTTCTCATTAGAACATAAGCTTCAGATCAACAACTTGATCTTATTTGCACTGTAGTTCCTAGAATGGAATCCGGCACATGGTTGGTATTTAAATTTGTTCACTAGGTATTTTGTGTACTATATAATAATATTAGTCTATTTTAAAGAAGGGGAAGCAAGTAACTGGCTCAAGTTTTTATACCAGAAAGTGGAGGATCTGGGATTAAATACAAAGGTAAATCTGGAAGGCAGTATTGATAACCAGATGAAATAGATTTCAAGGCAGAATGAATTTAAATTAGCAAAGAAAAATTCATCATATGAATTAAGGAACAGCACTTCAAGAAATTTTAGGAGTTGAGAACTTTAATGTAGGGCTGGGGATATAGTTCAGTGGTTCCACTGCCTGCCTCAAAAGCCCAAAGACCTGAGTTCAATCCCTGGTACCAAAAAAAAAAAAAAAAAAAAAAAAAAAATCCTTTAATGTGTCTGTAGTATAGCTTCTATATATTGAGAGCAGAAATACAACTCTGATGGGATGAAGGGAAACCATGTTGTGGTAAGAGACTAACCAGTAAGAAGGCAGAAATAATTTTAAAACTACCAAATAATTTTTGAATTGCTCACCTTATAAGTTTCAGTGCATAATCTCTTAGTACATATAAAACTTGAACATACTATACCCTTGGGTACAAAGGAGCAAAGTTATCCAGAATGGATGTTTAACAGCCAGAAAGCTCCCAAAGATTAATGAATGAAAATTATCTAACCTGCAAGAAAAATGGGTAAATGACAGAACAAGAAATTCTCTATCAAAATACAAATGGCAAGAAATATATAAAGAGATGCCAAGTTTAACTAATAATTAGGAAACTTAAAATCTATAGATTAAAAGTATAGAATGATACTGTTCTTTACACCATAAGTTTTTTAAAAATTAAAGGAGATGACAAATTAGTGTTGGCAAAGTTATAGGTTAAGGAGTGCTTTTAGTTGGGTATTTGTAACTACCCAGAGTTCTGCAGAACAGCTTAGCTTTATCTGTTAAAATTATACCTCATACTCTAAAATCTGCCACTTCTCAAGAATTTCCCTCAAATTACTGTACTGAGTTTTTAAATTTAGGTTGAGGTTGGATTTTAAAAGTAATTCCCAGTTTTTGCCATGCAAGTTTGGGTAACAGTGTAGTAGGGCACTTTTTCCCGTTTTGTTTTTGTCTGCTTGCTTGTTTTCTTGAGACAGTGTCTCACTATTGTAGCCCAGGTTGGCTCCTTGCATTTCGCCTGCTTAGCATTCCCATGTTACAGTTATGGGCGTGAACCACCATACCTGACTCATTTTCTTCCACTTTAAGAATATTTAGAAGCGGGGTATGGTGGCACATGCCTGTAATCCCAGTACTCAGGAGGCTGAGGCAGGAGGATTGCTGTGAGTTCGAGACCAGCCTGGGCTATGTAGTGAGTTCCAGGTCAGTCTCAACTACATGGTGAGACCCTGTCTCAAAAGAATGAATGAATGAATGTATGTGTTTAGAGGCTGGGGATGTAGCTCAGTAGCAGAACATTTGTCTAGGAAGCACAAACCTTCGTTGGTTCAAGGTTCAGATGCAAATATGTGTATATTTGTATGGAGTAAGGGACACTGGCTTGGAAGAATGATATTTCTACTGGCTGAGTTAGTGGATTTAACAAGAAGACAAAAGCGGCATAGTAGTGACAATGATTTGTGTATATGTATGTACACATACATTGTAAGAATTGACTTCTGCCACCATTGCAAAAGTCTTTGCAGAATGCCTTTCTATGGGCATCACCACAGAGAGTCGCACCATTATATTTGGATACAATGTATGTTATATCAAAAATGTTGCTGGGCGTGGTGGCACACGCCTATAATCCTAGCACTTGGGGAGACTGAGGCAGGAGGAACGCTGTGAGTTTGAGACTCCCTGGGCTACATAGTTCCAGATCAGTCTCAACTACATAGTGAGACCCTGTCTCAAAAAAACAAAACAAAACAAAACAAAAATGTTAACTTACTATTGGAGAACATGGTCATTGTCTGGAACTTTAATGGAAAAAGTCAGTTTTACATGTAATTTATTTAGACTGCCTCTGAATGTTTTTGTTATAAAAAAGAACGAAGAAATAGAAATTTCAGATGTTGTTTTCTACTTAAAAAAAAAAAAGGCCAGTGATGTTTCCATTGCCTATTAGTACATGAAACCCAAGCATACAACCACAGAATTTAGGGTTCCTATAATCTGAACTCTTTCCAACCTCCTCTCTGGATTCCTCAATTTAAGTACTCTTTGGGCAGGGGGATTTAGATCAGTGGCACTGAACCTGCCTTGCAAGCACAAGATCCTGAATTCATTCCTGATACCACACACACAAAAGAAGTTCTCTTCTCTTAAAAGGTGTACTAATTAATCCTTAAAAGCCCTCCTCTTCCAGCCTGAAGCTTCCTCCTTTTGCCCTCTAAATGGGTAGTAGATTTGTCATCCAGTTGAAATTGCCTTTTCTAATAAGAGCTGCTGTGGCCTTTTCTTGTTTCTTTTTTCAACTCCTGTATTATTTGTAAAGTGTTGCTCTTATTTTAGTATTTTAATCATGTAATGCTTATTTTTGGACTTGTTTGAAACTGTCTTGCTATGTGTTATAGGCTGGCCTTGAACTCATTGTGTAGCTCAAGCTGTCTATAACTTGCTGTAAATCCTCCTGCCTCGGCCTCTGAAGTGCTGGGATTATAGATGTGCACCACCATGGCCCTGGACTTGTTATTTGTTTAATTATAATGTTTAATATTGGTTTGTCTTACCTGCTTCACTATAGTGTAAGCTCCCTGAGCATTGCATTATTTATCTGGAGAACGGATAGCACATAGCAACTTCTAAGTAATACATTTGTAGAGTGAATAGATGAAACTGTGTTCACTGTAGTAGAGACAGTGGAGTATCTTTTCTAACACATTTACTTACTCTTATTTTTTCTTCATTTAAATCTTTTTCAGTTTAGAGTGTTTATATCTTGGAGGAAACTTCATCAAAGAAATCCCACCAGAATTAGCAAATCTGCCTTCCCTGAATTACTTGGTATTATGTGACAACAAAATTCAAAGTGTACCTCCTCAGCTTTCACAGTGAGTAGCTTTAGTTTATGTGTACATAGACACCCATGTTTAGGGATTATTTTCTTGCATTCATTTAGCTTTTTTACATGTAGAAAAGAAGTAAGTACACCCGTAGTAAATGACACGATAATTATAGCTGTGAGATTTGCTGTGGATTAGGTTATTTTAAATTTTACTTTTAAGTGCTCTAGTTTATTCTTCAAAATATTTGTTCAGCTTGTTTTCTGTAATGAAAGAGTTAATTTGTCATAGGCTTTCCTGAGTTTTACAGGATTTTCAGTGATTTTATATTTGATATGAACCACTCTAACAAGGCTTGGTAATATGAAGGATTTTCATTCCTATTGCACCTGAAATCTTTCCTAGGTTAGCTATCTGAATGACAAAGTATGCTCCCCCAAATCTTTATTTCTAGCACTAATCTCTTGTAAGACATCAGCATGCTCTTCTAGTATCCTAAGGGCTCTTAAGATTCCGAGGGTAGAAATCTCTTGTGGCACTTATGAAACCACACTTTAAGCCGGTTTCAGCATCGGGAAAATTTTTTTGTTTTTGTTTTTTCAGTACCTGGAATCAAACTCGGGACGTTAAGCTTGCAAAGCAGGCTGTGACATCACTGAGCTAAATCCCCAGCCCTGGGTTCAGCATCTTGCTTTGCTGATTCTTGCAGGGAAATTGACTGTCTTCACCTATACATACGCATGTCTGTGCACATGCTTATGCACATATGTAAACTTCCTAGTAGTTAATTTGTTCACTGCTATTGATTTTTGTGCTGGATTCATTCTAGGTTGCATTCACTTCGTTCCCTCAGTCTCCACAATAACTTGCTGACATACCTGCCCCGAGAGATCCTCAACCTTATTCATTTGGAAGAGTTGAGCTTACGAGGAAATCCACTGGTTGTTCGTTTTGTTAGAGATTTAACCTACCACCCTCCAACTCTCCTGGAATTAGCTGCGCGGACCATTAAGATGCGAAATATTTCCTACACTCCCTATGATCTTCCTGGGAATCTTCTTAAATACTTGAGTTCAGCCAGCAATTGCCCCAACCCAAAGTGTGGTGGTAAGTAAATTCATTGTTCTTGTTTCCTACTTATATAGCTATTTTAAATTTTTGATTGTTGTTCTAATTAGTTACAGCTTTTAGAAGAAGGCAGTGCCTTAGTTATTTTTCTCATTGCTGGGACAAAATATTCAACTCTCAGAAGTTAAAAGGAGGAAGGGTTTATTGTAGCTCATAGTTTCACTCCATAGGCAGCTGGCTCTAGGGCAGGGCTGCAGGTCAGCAGGACAGCCTGGAAGAGAGCACAGCAGAAGAGAAATAGTCCATGGCAATGCAGGCAGCAAGCAGCAAGCCTGCCTGCTTTCTGTTCCTTTTATCCTATCCAGGCTACAAGCCTTTTACATGGTATCAGCCACACTCAGGGTCAGCCTTCCCATTATCCACACTCATAACCAAGCTAAGCCAATCAGTAGGCTAATTTAGTTATCATCCCTTTAATCTACATTCACACATTCTAGGTCCAGCCACCTCATAAAAGATCCATCTCTGAGTATATGAGGCTTTGGGAGGACTTCTAGATATAAGCCGTAACAGGAAGTTACCCAAAAGTAAGACATTTTGCCTTCTGAAGAATTTTTTTTTTTTTTGGTACTGGGGATTGAACTCAGCACCTTGTACTTGCAAGGCAGGTTACAGTGCCCACTGAGCCAAATCCCCAGCCCAAATAAACTGCAGTTATTTTTGTGGTTTGTTTGTTTTATGAAGATTTCTTTTCTTTCGTGTGTGTGTGTGTGTGTGTGTGTGTGTGTGTGTGTGTGTGTGTGGTGTTGAGGATTGAACCCAGGGCCTCATGCATATTAAGAAAGTGTTCACCCACAGAGCTACATCCCCAACCCATTTTTTGCTTTTTTAAATTCTTCCTATAGTATTTTTTGATTCATGCACAAGAAAATACCAGTATTTGGGGGTTTACACACAAGAAAATACCCAGGAAAATGTACTCATTCAGAATATATGAGAATGGGCTGAATTCATGCAGATCTCAGGATGTACACTAGCATTTTATATTCTTTTAAATCCATGGTTGAAATTGAAATTTGAGTTTAGAGCATTTGGAGAGAAGTAAACAAATAATATAAGGCAGAATAAGATAATTATCCCTAGGAATTCAAACTACTTAGAAATCAAAGAAGGGATGGTATATTTAATTAGATGTGGAAAAGAATAGCTGATTCTTGAGGGATGAGTTAAATTTTGATAGGGTAATATTTAGGGTGGGAATAGTAGGGACAATGTGTTGGATGAATGACAGTTTGGCTCAAGTGTTATAGTTAGGGCAGTAGAGTGAAAAGATTCATTGAGACAAGGTGGTGAAGGGCTTGAAGGGCCAGGGTGTGTGGGTGGGAATTGGTGACTGATAGATGAGTTGTTTTTTGTTTGTTTGTTTGTTTTTCCTTATAAAAGATTATCCCCCCCCCATACTAGGGAAAACTCAGGACCTTATGCTTGCAGGACTGGCGCAGCACCACTGAGCTAAATGATTAATTTTTTAAAAACCCATTTTAATGGAGCATAGAAAGGGTTTTAGTCTTAAACAATAAATGTAAGTATAGAGAAGGTTGTATAATGATAATCAGAACCAGGTGAGATTTTCCCTGAAAGTCTTGTCTTGAAATTGTCATAAGTTTAAAAAGGAGGAAAGATGATAAAGTTCCTCAGAGCTTGCTATAAGAGATAAAAGATACTTTGGATTAAAAAAATACATACACTCTTAGAAATAAATAGAGGTTGCAGTATGGATCATTTGAGTCTACAGCTCAATAATAAACCTGGACTTGGGAATAGAGAAACCCTAAGTATTCGGAGAGTAAAACTGATGTGGTTTCTTAAGAAAAAAAGAGTCATTTTGTGTCTTAGATTTGAAATAAACTGTGTTATGTAAAGAAATAAATAGAGGTTGCAATGCTGTGTCTAGTTGAGTGTGTGTAAGCTTTTCTCTGAGGTTCCCCTTTCCTGGACTGGATCAAACTTTTCTTTCCTCTCAGCTCTCTTCACATTTCTACCTAGTTGAGGAGCCACAGATAATAAGAGCACTAAATTAGCTACCCAAGGAGCCAAATACTAGTTTCAGTTTATCATAGATTATATATTTGTACAAAAATCAAGTGAGATAACCAGTGTGTCTGCTTTCTGCCTTCTTCCTGCTGATTGTGTGTAACATTATTCCTTCAGATCATTATAGGGAGGTGTTTCCTTTGTTCAGTCTCCTGACTGGGCAGTCCTGAGAGGACGGCTTGGGCATGGAAGAAGGCCACTGTAGGTATCTTTTAATTCCCACCAACCACTGTCCCCAAGTCAGCAAAAGAAAAGATGATAAGTAAGCATTGTCATTTCTAAACTGTTTTCTTTAGGATAAATCTCCCTGCCTTCTCTTTGCGTGCAAGGTGCCATGTCTAAGACCTTTCATTATTTCTACAAGCAGCTATATAGATGTGACTACCATGTACTTCTGCTTAAATTCACAAAAGAAAACTTTATATGACTTTTCTCCAGAATTCTGGAGAAAGACTTGAAAAAGAAACTCTGGCTTCGTGTTTGTAATGATTATTTTATATTCCTTCTCTGTAGGAGTCTACTTTGACTGTTGTGTCAGACAAATTAAATTTGTGGACTTCTGTGGGAAGTACCGCCTCCCGCTGATGCACTACTTATGTTCTCCAGAATGTTCTTCCCCCTGCAGTTCTGCCTCACACAGCTCCACGTCCCAGAGCGAGTCCGATTCAGAAGATGAAGCTAGTGTTGCTGCTCACAGAATGCAGAAAGTTCTTCTTGGTTGAACACAAGTGCAGGGTGTTGTTAAATACTAAAAAACTGAGCAGACATGATTGTAAAAGAACATGGAGCTTGAAGTTGATTATCTTCGTTTTGAGTGTCCATGAAAGAGTTGGTGATGTTAAGTTTCATCTACTGTTCAGCAGGAAGGAGTTTGTTTCTGTGTTTGGATTCTTTTAATATAACTTACTCTGAATGGCAGTTCCAATTTTTGATGGTGGCATTTTCGCTCAAGTTTTGCATGACTCTTTTAGCAGAGTGGTATATTTTGAACAGTGTTATACTAGGCCATGAGAACTGTTACTGGTGGTGATTGAGATGAAGAAGGAAGTTATCAATGCTGTAATAGCAGAGTTGTCATTGGGTTTCGATTGAACATTATACCATAAACTGGATTTACTCTCTCCATGTGTTCAGATTATAGACCTCTTCATGTGTGCTCACAGATGGTTACATAGGACCTAAACCTTTGTGACCAGCTAAGTGGTAAAGTAAGAAATGTTACTTTTAAATGGGATGTTTAACTCTTCTATTCTTCTTTGTTTTATATGATTGTTAATAACTTTAATCCAGCAGTGACTTGTAACAGTGCCTTAATGCTAGCAAAGTTATAGAAACTTATTCAATAAAATGTGCCAGAGCAGTGTACAAACTGACATATTATGCAAAACACTTTAAAATATATGTTAACAGAACTAGAACTAGGTTAACAACTGTGAATCTAATTGAACTCACGCCATCATAACTTCACTTTTTTACTTAAACATAACAATGATCCCTTGTGAACAAATTGCTTTTACACTTAATGGGAAGCCACTATCTTAATCTGTTCATTGTAAAACAGAACATTAGTTTTTAACAGAAAACTCTAGAAGAAATATAAGCTAGGAAAGCTTCTTTCTGTCTTGCATTAAGTAAATGGGGGGAAAGTTTAGATTTTTTTGGAGGGGGGGTACCAGGGATTGAACTCGGGATCTTGCGAGGCAAGCGGCAGAACCACTGAGCTAAATCCCTGGCCTAAAAGTTTAGAATTTTAAATAATCAAATGTGACTCTTTCATGTTACATACTAAATGTAACTTTCTCTGCACTTTAAGAAAAAAGAAATCAACTAGAAAAATGTGACACTGGAACAAAATAAAGTTGAAAGCAGGGATTATTGTGTTCATGCATAATAGAACAGTTTCCAAAACTAATTTAATCCTGAAGGCTTTTTGAAAATAAAATATTGATAAATTTTTTAAAAAATATGTTGTAACCACAGGGGGAAAGGATTCACAAAACTTTGCCATTAGGAATTATCAATTTTTTGTTAACTGTTTTAATATAGACTTAAAATTTAATAGTAGTGCAACTATAAGTTGCTATTATAAAATACACACTAGTAATTAGCCCATAAAGTGATGGCTAGTTGGTAAATATTAAATGTATGGTTATGTACAGGTCAGATTGTGTTAGAGCATCAGGTAATCTCTTAAAGGGCACACACTATTTCTTGAAAGCCAGTTGTACAATAGTGGTATATATAGGTTAAGTTTTTTAACATAGTTTTTTGTTCTAGAAGTGTAGTATAGGATAATTCAGGGTTTATATGTTTGTGTGTCAATTCATGAAACATGAGAGTTTCATGACTGCAGTTGTGAAACGCTGCTATAGTGAATCCCTTCACCTTTACCTTGTTATAATGTAGTAAGATTTTTTTTTTCTTTTTGATTCAGAAATCTTCTGCCTATATCTATAGAAATAATCTGATAGAAATAGAAGTAATAAAGTTTGTGCTTCTTCATTTGAGCCATGGCAAGCTACAGACTACAAAATTATGCAAGATATGTATTATTTAGGCAGTACCTAAGGGACAATGGTCAAACATTTTGTACCTAAGTGACTTAGATGCATAAAATATTTTCATGGAAAATACTTTATAGTAAAGTAATAGGACCAAATTTTTCTGGCCTACATGTGCCTTTACCTTATTGACCATCAGCTTAACCTAAGTAACAGCTTGAGTAATCTCAGATTTAGTCTTTGTAAAATAACTAGGTAAGCGTGTAAATATAACACTTAAACTTACATAGCCTTTTCAGCTTTCTAGAAAGGTGGTATACTCTTTGATGTTTTATAGATGTAAATATTCTGACCAGAAGTCGTTTCTAGCTTGTGCCATATAGTGTAGATATATACTATATGTATAACAAAATATTTGTCATAGTTCAAAAGTCTTTTATCAGTATGCAGCTATCTTTGATAATGTTTAATGAAATCTACCTTTTAGCTGTTTTATCTTTTTAAAAATCTTTGACCTTACCTGTCACAAAAGCTGCTAATAATTTCTGAGGTTTTCCTTGTTTGTTTGTTTTTTTACCTTCCTTTTTCTCATAAATGGTTATAGAAATTAGAAGCTGAGATAGATACAAGGCACTTGATCATCTAGAAATAAGATGACCAGCTTCCAAGTCATGTAGCAGACTATGTATTTAAAATAGTAGTCTCTTCAGTCATGTTTTGTGTTTAACCACAGTTGATGATTCGTTTTTAAAAAAAAGATTTGTGAAATGTTTTTTACATTGTTCCAGTTGAATACTTTTACTGAACAAAACTGTTGTAAAAGAATCTACTTAAAGTATTAATATGTGTAGAATTTAAAGTATTAATATGTGTAGAATGAAATTCTTCTGTGCTAATATTTGAAATTGAAATGGATACATTGTACATTTTTAGTAGTCTTTATTCCTAAAATCCATTCTGTCTGCATCACCAAACTGAGAGAGATAGTCATAGAACAAACATAAGAAATAGGAAGATAACCTAATATGAAATTTTGATTCCATGGTTTCAGGGACTGACTGGCATAAGGACCAACTGGTCAGGATTCTCAGTATTCCTTGTATTTGAGTAGCAGAGAATAGTCTGAAGGCGACTGTTTATATTTTCTAAATGTATGCAAAAGGTGTCTTGTTCTAAATTTTGTTTAGTTTTGTTTGTTGTTTGAGAAAGCAGTCACCACCATACCTGGCTTAAAATTGTTGATATTTAGGATTTTAAGCCACTAGATTTGAAATTAAATGTTTGCACTGTAAACTGCACCTTAAATTTGAGAAATTTTTGTTGATGCCCCAAAAGTATGACTAATACTGTAAACTAATTCTATCAGGTATTGTAAATATCAATTTCAAATAGAAAAGAAGGAACAGTCTGGTGCTAGAGTGTTAAACAAAATCTTTAAAAGCAACAAAGACAGGAATAGAGATTTCATCAGCAACCTAGAAATATCCAAGAGTCAAGAAAGCCCTTTATACTAATACATGTTGTTTTTATGAAATGAAGTTATGAAGTGGCCTACTATGATCCATAAACCTTTATCTCTGAATATATTCCATGTCTGTTTTTGGAAATGTCCACATCCTTCCATAATGGAGGGCCAGTAAGCAGTAGGATTTTCTCATAGCCAGCTTTGCTTTTCCCAAAGAGAGAAAATAGTACCTCATTAACCTGGAACTTACAGTTCATCAAGTAAGCCTTGGTTAATGTTTACCTGTTCATTACATTAAAAAAGACAAGCAAATAGTACAAATAAAGTTTGATCATTGAAAGCATTTTAGTAATAGCTATTTACATAGAATAATGGTTATTTTAAATCTTCATATAGTTCATTATAGAAAACTATCAGTTGTAGTATGTATAATTTACTTAGGTGTAGTGAGGAGTACCTATTTTTCCTAAATGATCCTGTTATACAAAAGTAGAGATTTTACTGTATGCTTTTACTCCCTGTTTAATCCAAAATACTACATAGTGAGCTTTTAAGTTTTGCTGGGCATTTAACCCTATAGTAAAGGCTGTTGTATAGGTTTTAAGGCAACACAGCCTATAATAATGCATAATTCTGATTCCTGTATAAAAAAGTCCTTGACCATCACTATCTCTGTGTAAAGCACTCTTATATAACATTAATGAATTTAATATGTAATTTTGTATTTTCATTATAGTCATTTATTTTTGTTTTGGTACTGGGGATCAAACTCAGGACCTTGTGCCTGTGAGGCAGGTGTGGTGTCACTGAGCTAAATCCCTGGCCCTAGTCATGATTTTTTAAAATACAGCATGCCTTCATTTGTAGTCATTATGTGCCTTAAATCCTACACTTGACCTTTAGTTTTGGGAACTGTATCATTGAATAAGTTATTTTTGACAGCTCCAGGATCTTTTGCATATTACTTGAAGGACGGTGATCCTGAGAAATTCTTTTGCCTAAAACAGGACACAAAGTATGAGCGTAGGTCTTCTGGGGAGGGAACTCCATTAAATTTACTACTGTTACAGGAGGTCAAAACCATAAAGATTGGGGTCCCATGAAATAAAATCAGTGATATATTTTCTTACATATTCCTTTATGTTAGAAAGTTTGTCTGGTAACACCAAAGGATAACAGCAGGTCCTGAGCATCTTCATATTTACAGTCTCACACGAAGACATTGTGACTCAGGCCTAACATGTTTGGCTCCTGCTTTTCTTTATAAATTGAGAGGGTGAAGGGTAATGTTTTAATATGTTGTGTGTAAATAGCTTAGTTCTTTGTATATTTTTCTTGGTCCATATTTCCTAAGAATTAATGTTTAAACAATAGCAGTCCACTAACACTACACATTATTTGAACACACAGGATAATGTCAGTTTGGGTGCTACTAGACTTTTCACTCAGCATCATCAGTCTCAATAATGCATGTAGGGACGTATTCAATCTAGTATACATTAAATTTATTAAATGACCAGTATTTATATAGTGTCATGCCAGAAAGACCATCAGCATTCGGCAGAACATGCTTTGTTCCTTTGGCTGTGAATAAAATTGGATAAAATTGTTTTATTCACAATTCCAGCTAAAGGAAAAAAGCGGCATAAGATTGACATTATTGTGGCCAGTATCACAAAAATATTACTAAATTGATTCTGCCTGCAATTGGTGTTTGAGAATCATCACTAATTTAAATAATATTGATTACTAGCTATAAGAAAAGACTATTAACTTCAATGGTCACTTAGAGCAGTCATGTAGAGACTTGTGTTGAAGTTTTGTTCCGAACTCATTTTGTATTCATAAGAAACAAAATGAGAGAAAATTTTACAATATCCAATAATTTGACTTTTACTCTGCAAATTACTATGTATGATCTGATATTTTAATTTTCTGTATTTAAAGCTGTGTGAATTAGGAGTATCTTTATAAGTATATAGTTAACTAAAAGTTTATGGTAAAAATGAATAACTCAGTTATTCATTATAATTCAACAATTGTTTTATTTTTTAGATATAGTTTATTATGTCAGATTTATATATTACCTTATAATGGTAAATGCTCTAAAAAAAATATTTAAGCTACTTCAATTTTAGTACTTTACCCTCACCTCCCAGGACATAACAGAATATTGTAATCTTGTACCAATGTGTGTGAATTTGCCTTATTAAACATTGTGCCCCCCCGCTTCAGTACCAGTGATCGAACTTGGGTCCTTGTGCTTGCGAGGCAGGCAGCAGAACCACTGAGCTAAACCCCCAGCCCTTGTACCTTATTTCATTAAATTGTTTTGTTAGGATTGAGCTCTATATTTTGGAAAAGCAACAGTATTTTCTTTCCTTCCTTCCTTCCTTCCTTCCTTCCTTCCTTCCTTCCTTCCTTCTTTCTTTCTTTCTCTTCCTTCCTTCTCTCTCTCTCTCTCTCTCTCTCTCTCTCTCCCCCTCTCTCTCTATCTCTCTCTCCCCCCCCCTCTTTTTTGGTACCAGGGATCAAATTCATGGACCTGCACTTGCGTGAGGCAAGCACAGTGCCACTGAGCTAAATCCCCTGCCCAGTATTTTCTTCTTAATTAACAAGAATTTACTTTAAAAATAAATCTAAAATCCTCATAATGTTTATATTTGCCTCTTTTATATCACTGTTTATCTGTTTATTGAATTTATTCAATACATGAATTTGTAAATTAGGTGTGTGTTTTACCATTTTATTCTCTGTGTTTAGTTGCAAGGCATAAAAGATGATTAAGAACAGCTTTTTGTCTGCTGGAGTTCCCTTCTCATGGAGCCATGCTCTAATAAGAATTAACTCAGATTATCCTGCTGACGAAGGTCAGTTAGGTCTTTTGACTTAGTCCAGGAGCACAGTCTAGTGCAGAATCACAAGTAACATTGCATTGAGTGCAATGATACTGCTGCACTTCACATTACTATTTAGTACCATTATGTGGGTGATCTGAGGCATCTGATATTTTTCTGGATTCTGGAATGTGAAAGAATAATGTGATTGGTTAGAATTGGATAAACAGTAGATAGGATGGACACCTTTGCGAAAAAGCTAGTGTTTCATATTTGTGGAGATGGAAAAAATCTCAGCACTTCCCTGGTTAATACATAGGAAAGCTTCTTGACCAACATGGGCCCTCAACTTGGAGAGATGAGAAAACATTGAGTGTGAATGATCTCTTACCTTTCTTGAGAATAAAACTATAATCTTCCCTGTTCTTAAAACTATAGTAGAAGGAAGTTTTATTGTTCAGTGGTTAACTTTGTAGAGAGCAAATAGAAAGCCAGACCATTTCAGGGAATGTATGAGACTTGGAATGTCCCATCTGTCACACCAGTCACTCCCAGCTTCATGAGCAATTTGTCTGCATTTCCCAGGACATTTCAACCAGAAAAAAACCTTAGAAGCCTGAAATGTACTCCTTCTTTAAAAGATGAAGATTAAAGATGTCTTTAGAGAGCTGTGTCCAAGACCTTTAGATGGCCAGGTCAAGTCCAACTTTTGGATTCCCATTTCAGCACTTGCACTTTATCTAACATGCCATGACAGGAAGCCTGCAGCTGCATTATGTGGCACAGTAGGCCTGCCAGCATTGAAATGGTGTCTGTACCACATCTCACTGTGATCAGGATTTTAGACCTTGTGGGAATTTTAGATGAAATGCGTGGTAGCTCTCAAAAAGCATATTCAAGAGTTTCCTTTTAGCTGGGCGTGGCAGCACATGTTTATAATCCCAGCACTCAAGGAGGCTTGGAAATTCAAGCCTAGCTTGACAAAAACTTTTGAGACTCTTATCTCAAGATTAAAAAAAAAATTTTTTAATAGCTTTAAGAAATTGATATAACCCTGAGATAGAGATAGGAAACTACTGTATCAGCCTTTTCAAATCAGAATCGACTCTTCCTGTATTCCCCTTAAATTGAGTGTAATCTAAATCAGGCTTCCCCTACAGCAGTGGTGATGAACTCATGGCACACGTTATTTGTTTTTAAGACAAGATGTTAATGTATTAGTTGTTTCTTCTAAACTAAAACCTCAGTATTCAGGTTTAATTGCATTGTTGGCACTAGGGATAAATAGGTGGGTTTTGGGTTGCAGTTTGGGCACTCTTCAAAAGGTTTGCCATCACTCCGTACAGGAACCGGGCCTGCCTCTAAACTATTCTACAAGGCTCAATGGGACACACTGCTTTGGACAGGCATGTCCAAAGGAGAGCAGATCAAATTTTAATCCCTTGTGCTGCCTGGCAGAGAAACCTGGACAGTTATTAGAGTTCAATCCCCCATACCAAAAAAATTGAAAACTGCTACTTTCAATCCTTTGAATTTGATAGTGTTCAGAGGACCAATCAGAAGAAGTTGTTCTCAATCCTTCATTTTCATAGGCTGTGACCAACAAAAACACTTGTTTCTGATACTTCATTTACATTTGCAGGAGGCCAAGTGAATTTTCATGGAAATTAATACTTTAAAAAATTCCTTTAAATTTCTATTTTTATTAGTACATATTTGCAGTCTATAATGATCATTATCATCTTGGGTAGTTGGTAAATACGTGTGCATAACGCATCTTAAGGTCCTCCTTTAATTTGGGAGGGAGGGTGCAGGGTAATTGGCCCAGAACCCACTTCTGTGGAAATGAACCACAGTATTGTTGATGATACTGGTTTACAGTAAAAATGCATAGCAGCAACTATGCCACTCTAGCAATGACAAGATCAGCAACTACAGTAGAGTCAGACAAACGATATCTGCATACTGACATACTATAAAAAGAAGAGTTGCCACTCTATCACTCTTAACCATAGAAAAGACATCCATATAATAATAGACGCAAAAACAAACCAAATATTGACATACAGTAAATACCCACTTAACAATTATAACACTATTAACAACAGAAAATTCAATAATAGAGTTAAATATGTAAAGATTAACAAAACAATAGTAATACTAGTAAAGATGGAGTGAGTGGGGAACAGAAAATGAAGTAAAATTTGAAAAATGAAGGTGAGAAAAGCGAAAGGATCTTATTAAGGATAAAATAAAATTAATAGTATTAGATACTGTAATAGAACAAAGAAGAAAAAATACAAGGGAAGACACCCAAAACTCCAAAAAAATCAATGAAGAAAAAGCATTTTTGAATTTTTGAATGGTCTCTTTCCATGGTCTGCAGTATTAGAATCCACGAGCTGTGCAGGAAAGATAGTCCCTATTCAAACCTATTTTCTATTCACATTTTTGTGTGTGAACGCTGAATCCTGCCCCCTCTTTCTTGCGGGGCATGATTGGTCAGTGGTTTCCATCACAGAGCTGTAGTCACTGCTTCCCAGTTTCTGTGTTGCTCAGTGACCCAAGTCATAGCTTTTTTTACCTTATGTCAACAGAGATAGTTTACATCTAGCATAAAGTCAAAGTGTGTTTTAGTAGAATTAATATTCCAATATCTTACATGAGGTGAAGATCAATCTGGGTATTTTAGATATGAAAGACTGCTTTTGCTTTATTCTCAAGGTTGCTGTGAGCCTTTTCACTGGCCCATTCTCACCTTGGAGAATATACTTTTTTCTACGTTCAATAAACATGTATTCTTGCTGCCTTTTTTGTGTGTCATGTCAAATTCTTTGTGCTAGGTGTGAAGGACCAGGGAAGAAGACCTACAAGATCCCCACCCCCAATCTGGTGCACCCCAGTGTTCTCTATGAGCTCCTTTTTTTCCTGAACTGAAAGT